TGTACTCAGTTAGGATCTGAAATATTTATTACTTGCGAAATAGCAGACTTTGGGATCCTCCAGCCACAAGACCCCGCAAGGGTGGGAATCAAAAGAGGGCGGGTGGGACGGTAAAATAAAAATTAAAATAAAGTTATATTGCCGCTATCGCTTCCCTACTCCCCTAAAGTCGTGGCCTTCCAAAATTCATACGGTAGAAAATTATCGTAAAGTAGTGTATTCGTTTTATCAGGATACATATATACACTGCCTAAGTTAGCCAGCTCTCACGCGATCATTCTATTCACAAGGTCCTATTAAAAAAATAAATATAAAAAAAGACAGAAAATCAGGATTGCATACAGTAATTATTTCCATCAACAGAATGGCATTTATTCCCTGTTCAAATCCTCAACCGTGATTTTCACTCTCCAGGTAGGAAAACCGTGGCTGTCTGCATACCTACAATGGCGGCGGTGCTTGTCCATACGCATAGCCGTGCTGACCCTGTGGTGATACCGGTTGACCATATGCGTATCCCTGTGGTGGCTGGCCATACGTGTACCCTGGCGGTATCGGCTGTCCCTGTGGTGGCTGGCCATATGTATACCCTGGTGGTGCCGCTTGACCATATTTGTATCCCTGTCCCGTTTGCTGTGCTGGCTGTGCATAAAAATTCGGTGCGGCGTTACCGGATGCACCCGACGTTGATATTCCTTGAGATGCAGGAGCCAAATAGGGCGGGGCGCCTGATGAAGTCTTTTTTGGTCGCATCCAGTAGCAAATTAGTGCTGTGCAGACACCAATTTCCAGCAGCAAGAACAGGCACCCAAGAACAATCAGCACAATACCCACGGTGCGCGAATTCAAACCCAAATCATTGGTTCCCTTTGTTAACCGCTGCAGGGCGATGTAAGGATCCTTGCTGCTGTACAGGCGCACTGTAACGGTGCTCGGTACTCCAGGCTGGTAATCGTTATCAAGATCGCCAAAGGCGTACATGGCACTTCGGAGATTGGTGTCCTCGGCGTATTTTCCGTTGCTGACCTCACGAACAACAAGGTACAATTTCCTGAGGTACAGAGTCTCCAGACACTCACCGCAAATATTGCCCGCCTTACACCACGTGGGTGCTTGATTGTACCTTCCGCCCCTGGCGGTACATTTCTCCCCAAAACTGCGGACATCGCGTTTGCACTGGCAATCCTTTCCGTCTTTGCAGTCACTTGAAGAACAGAAGTATGTAGAGTTTCTCATAATATTGAAGGGGGCCATGCGAATAAAAGGGGTCACGGTTCTAACATTCACGGAAACTTGTAACCTTGATGAAGACCTCTGAGAAGCAGGAATAACAGCCTCCGCAAAGACAGAAGTGGCCCCGTCCACACCCTTGACGTTTAGCGACTCGCGTCTCACAGTAATCGGCACACCGTTGATGGTCCCAGTCCAATCGTTCATGGGTGTGGGGTCAAATTCATTCACGGCATCTCTGAAAGCTTTTCGAAGGTCCTTTTGATTGAGAAGTATGCTGCCCGCGATGATGAGTGCAGGGCCACCGATGATGAGGCAGCAGGCACACGCCACAACACTCTTAAAAAAGTCCTCAACCGCATCAACGATGCCAAACAAACACATTGTAAATTTCCTTCTGGCAACAGCTGCAACCATAGAGTGAGAGAAGAAAGCAGAACGAGGTGCAAAGACAAATAAAGAAAGCAAAGCAAAACGACGCATCATCACTCGGCACATTGCCGCCGACAATTCCAGCATTATAGGGCGCTCATCATCTGAGCATTTCGTCAAGCCAAAAAAAAATCCCTTTTTATTCCTCCATCCATTCATTCCTCAGAAGCATATAAACGCAGACACAAAAAAACACAGACACACACAGAAAAGAAAATATATATATAAACAGAAAAAGAAACGAGACAAATCTTGATATCTCGCAGGTACAAGAAAATATAAATATCAATTCTCGAGTATAAACCCTTATATAATAAAAATAAAAATAATCTTCTTGGCCGTTGGCCTGGTCCTGAATTTATCTATAGAAACCAAAGAAGATAGGGAAACATGGGGCAACGCGGAAGAAGTTAATTGCCCCAATATTTTCTTACGATATATATATATATATATACTTTTGACCGCTCACGTGACCTTTTGTACTCAGTTAGGATCTGAAATATTTATTACTTGCGAAATAGCAGACTTTGGGATCCTCCAGCCACAAGACCCCGCAAGGGTGGGAATCAAAAGAGGGCGGGTGGGACGGTAAAATAAAAATTAAAATAAAGTTATATTGCCGCTATCGCTTCCCTACTCCCCTAAAGTCGTGGCCTTCCAAAATTCATACGGTAGAAAATTATCGTAAAGTAGTGTATTCGTTTTATCAGGATACATATATACACTGCCTAAGTTAGCCAGCTCTCACGCGATCATTCTATTCACAAGGTCCTATTAAAAAAATAAATATAAAAAAAGACAGAAAATCAGGATTGCATACAGTAATTATTTCCATCAACAGAATGGCATTTATTCCCTGTTCAAATCCTCAACCGTGATTTTCACTCTCCAGGTAGGAAAACCGTGGCTGTCTGCATACCTACAATGGCGGCGGTGCTTGTCCATACGCATAGCCGTGCTGACCCTGTGGTGATACCGGTTGACCATATGCGTATCCCTGTGGTGGCTGGCCATACGTGTACCCTGGCGGTATCGGCTGTCCCTGTGGTGGCTGGCCATATGTATACCCTGGTGGTACCGCTTGACCATATGTGTATCCCTGTCCCGTTTGCTGCTCCGGCTGTGCATAAAAATTCGGTGCGGCGTTACCGGATGCTCCCGACGCTGGTGTTACCGATGCGTCAACCGGCATTTGAGGCGAGTCACTACTCGACGTCCGATTTCTTCGCATCCAGTAGCAAATTAGTGCTGTGCAGACACCAATTTCCAGCAGCAAGAACAGGCACCCAAGAACAATCAGCACAATACCCACGGTGCGCATAGTTGCAAAAGGTGTATCATCATCTATTCCCACCTTCTGATCATTGTAAGGATCCTTGCTGCTGTACAGGCGCACCGTAACGGTGCTCGGTACTCCAGGCTGGTAATCGTTATCAAGATCGCCAAAGGCGTACATGGCACTTCGGAGATTGGTGTCCTCGGCGTATTTTCCGTTGCTGACCTCACGAACAACAAGGTACAATTGCCTGAGGTAGACCGTTCGTTCACAGGTACCACAAGTGCGGTCCAACTCGCACATTCCAGGTGTGCGAACAAATTTTCCACCAGATGCGACGCACTGGTTCATAAAAGAATTCAGCAATTCGTTACACTGGCAATTCAATCTGCTTTTACAGTCACGTGAAGAACAGGTGTATGACGTTTTTTCTATGCTGCGGAAGGGGGCCATGCGATTAAAAGGGGTCACGGCGCTAACATTCACGGAAACTGGAAACTCTGATGAAGAATTCTGAGAAACAGGAACAACAGCCTCCGCAAAGACAGAAGTGGCCCCGTCCACACCCTGGACGTTTAGCGACTCGCGTCTCACAGTAATCGGCACACCGTTGATGGTCCCAGTCCTCAATTGCATGGGTGTCAGATTCGCGTTCTTAATAGTATCGTTAACAGGAACATCCTCAGAAGTAGGCTTTTGAGTGAGAAGTATGCTGCCCGCGATGATGAGCGCAGGGCCACCGATGATGAGGCAGCAGGCACACGCCACAACACTCTTAAAAAAGTCCTCAACCGCATCAACGATGCCAAACAAACACATTGTAAATTTCCTTCTGGCAACAGCTGCAACCATAGAGTGAGAGAAGAAAGCAGAACGAGGTGCAAAGACAAATAAAGAAAGCAAAGCAAAACGACGCATCATCACTCGGCACATTGCCGCCGACAATTCCAGCATTATAGGGCGCTCATCATCTGAGCATTTCGTCAAGCCAAAAAAAAAATCCCTTTTTATTCCTCCATCCATTCATTCCTCAGAAGCATATAAACGCAGACACAAAAAAACACAGACACACACACGCGTCGAAGAAAAGAGCTTATATATATAAACAGAAAAAGAAACGAGACAAATCTTGATATCTCGCAGGTACAAGAAAATATAATTCTCTGATAGAAAGCCTCATGAAAAACAATGTAAGCAAAATAATAAATAAACAAAATATACACATAGCTATCATATCCACCACCTCAGTGACACACTGTCCTTTTCAATTTTTTTGACCGTGATTTTCACTCTCCAGGTAGGAAAACCGTGGCTGTCTGCATGCCTACAATGGCGGCGGTACTTGTCCACGCTGAGCCTGTGGTGAGACTGGTTGGCCGTATGCGTATAATGGCGGCGGTGCTTGTCCATACGTATAGCCGTGCTGACCCTGTGGTGATACCGGTTGACCATATGCGTATCCCTGTGGTGGCTGGCCATACGTGTACCCTGGCGGTATCGGCTGTCCCTGTGGTGGCTGGCCATATGTATACCCTGGTGGTACCGCTTGACCATATGTGTATCCCTGTCCCGTTTGCTGTGCTGGCTGTGCATAAAAATTCGGTGCGGCGTTACCGGATGCACCCGAAGTTGATATTCCATAAGATGCAGGAGCCAAATAGGGCGGGGCGCCTGATGAAGTCTTCTTCCTTCGCATCCAGTAGCAAATTAGCGCTGTGCAGACACCAATTTCCAGCAGCAAGAATAGGCACCCAAGAACAATCAGCACAATACCCACGGTGCGCGGATTCAAACCCAAATCATTGGTTCCCTTTGTTAACCGCTGCAGGGCGATGTAAGGATCCTTGCTGCTGTACAGGCGCACTGTAACGGTGCTCGGTA